AACTTGTATGGCAAGGTATACTACCACACATGTCTTGTCAATGGTTTCACGGTGGAACTTCAACTCTTACTTTCTTTTTTAGATATTACAAAAAATTGGAGGATATCCTTTCCTCTCCCCAGCCGTTTCTGGTTAAGAAGTGTGAAAGTGCCTCTATCTTTATAAGAGTGTGCATCCTCAGCTGTGAAGTGGGAGAGAAGGGATTTCATAATTGAATTGGGATTTTGAATAAGACGGCCTTTCATTGTAAATTTTATTTTCATATTGAAAACGTAATAAGAGTAAGAGGTGTAAAGCTTTTCGTCATTCTTGCATCGAGCTATTTTTCCTCAGGACATCCTTATAATATTACTTAGGTTTGGGGATATGTGTGTGTATAGGAATCCTTTAACAAGAAGGATCCTCATTTTTCTAAAAAAATGGGGATATCCCCTTGACTGTTAGATTTGACTTTAATGAAATTGCGTGGTCTGTGATTTAATCTCAACCACACAATTTCATTAAAACCAATTCAACGGTCAAAAGAATATCCTCATTTTTTTTTAAATGAGGATCCCTCTTGTTAGAAGGCCTATATATAAATAATTACCATAATTTCTTTCAAAAGAATTAATTGTTGGTAAATTTGGTACCCTCCCATTTGTGCTGTTTATCTTAAGCAAATGTCACATATATCTCATACAAAATTACAACAAAGGACTTAGTGGTCTAAACAAATTAATTTCTTAAGTACCCAAACTAAGTGTATGTCCATCCGTTGACACACAGCAGACAAAGGCAACAATATTGACAAAGCAAGGACAAGAGGTGGGCCAACCACTGCCCGCCCTAAAGCTCGGCCTTGTGCCAACAGTACGCTGATGTATGCATGAACATTGCAAACCGATACGAATGCATGACTTTATACCAGTAATGGAGGAAAAATTGAGGGCAAAATTGTTCGTATAAGTAGAAATAAAACAAATTTTTACTCTTTCAAATCATCGGACTACATTTAGTATGTACCATAATTTTGAATTGTACACGAAATTGAGGCCTAACATACAACAAAGCATTTCAAATGCCTAAAGATGCCAATTTTCCCCTTCTTTAAGTGGGATTTGTAGTTGCCATGGCCAAGTTAACGGCATTCCAAGCCAATCACGTGTTGTCATGTGTTCCTGTCAATGTTTCTGTTTCCTCTCAGAGCCATGAGTACTATTATCAGCTGCAGCAGCACTTGTTGCCAATTCCATCAACCGCTCAAAATCTATTTCACTTGATTTGTACTTCAATTTCATCCCACTATGTAGCCATGACCTTATGCAAAGGAGAGTTTGTGCGCTGTCGTGCGGCATACAGAATCGTTGCTTGTGAATTTCATCGCCTTCGCCACAGAACAGTTCTTCCGGTGCCACTGAAACCGCCTGCACGGCTAAGAAATCCCGAGCCATCAGAGAAAGCCGTGGATAGCGCATACTATTGACTTTCCACCACTCCAGAACATCTGTTGCTAGTGGAGCTGGAGGATCCGACAGATATTGAGTGAGCTCATCCGTTGCGCTGCTCATGCTTGCCCTTCGTTTCTTTCGTGCAATTTCCTCTGCGAACGAGACATTGCATCCCTCTTCCATTTCTTGAGCACTATATCCGCCAGCCATGGATGGGAAATGGCTGGTCGAATAGTTTCTGATGAAATGAGCTCTCACTTCGTCAAGAAAATTATCTGAGTTGAGGCTTTCGGGAAATAGCTCTCCTTTAATTCGAGGATCAAGAATCGCTGTCATGTATATGATTATGTTGCAGACCTGGTTATTGTAACCTCTAACCTTTTCGGCCATTTCTTTTGCGGCATTTCTTAACGATTCTGGGTAAAGATGAGAATCTCTGCAAGCAGCAATTGTTTCGGAAATGTGATCCATAAAGAAGAGAGCCAGCCCGACAGTGAGCAGCTTGTCTGTGCACATGTTGTTTGTGGTTTTGTAGAATGGTTCGAGATATCGATGCACATGACCTGACTGCATTCTTCTCTGCAGAGCTCAGCAGCATCCTACTGTCTAGTGTCTCATACTTCCTGATAACAGCATCCATGGAATTCGAAGCCTGCATAAAAAATACATCGCGGTCACTTAATCCGCAATGGAAGTGTAGAGAGAGAGAGAGAGCAATGTAACATCCTCATATCATACCTTGCACACAATATCTAGCATCTGATAATTGCCACTCCACCGCGTTGATGTATCAAGCGGCATTTTCCAACAAAGTTCCTGGTAAGCTGCTGTGAATTCCGCAAAATCCTCTGCCATCTCTGCAGACGCGTTTAACCCCATTGCAAACTCTCGAATCTTTGCGATCACCGGCTTTGTAGTTCTCAGTCCATCATTTATGATCAAGTTCAAAATATGAGCAGAGCAGGGGATGTAACAGAATGGCCCTACTTTCTGACCATCCAGGTAAGCATGCATTGCACTCTGACTGCTATCATAGGTGCATGATAGGACTCTATTCTCAATATTGTAGGACCTAAGAACCTTCACTAGGGAGTGATAGATCTCGGCACCACCACACGGGTAAGGTATGTGACAGATATCGAGCATTATCTTTTGGAAAGACCAATTCTCGTCGATCCAATGACATGTGACGCTCATATAACAAAGTTCCTCATAGGAGGTCCAGAATTCAAGCGCGATAGAGACCTTCGAAGAAACATGTTCCAGCGACGATCTTACTACTTCCTGCATACTCTGGAAAACTTCATAAAATGTTCTTTTGTACTCCTCGCTTGACCATAGTTGTGCGGATGGATTTAAAAATTTGTACGAGTCTGCCAGCCACTTCTCTTCCAATGTTGCCGGAGGCAAAGAAGCTAAGATGAGCCACTTAACAAGCAACCAATTTATATGGTTGTAATCCATTTGGGATGCTTTTGATTGAGATTGAAGTTGAGGTTTCCGGTTTACAGTGGCGGGTTGTGGTGCAGGACTGGTGACAACATCGCCGGACTTATCATAACCAGGATGGCGATTACTTAGGTGCCTTCCCAGATTACCTTCAACGACAAGGAAAAATGAATCACCACAACCGAAACCTTAACCGTAGCATAAGCTATTCACAAACATATAGTACAATACCGCAATTGCACATCAAGAACAAGAACGAAAGCAACTACATTGAGGGGACAAAGAAGTTTACCAGTGGCAGTTGCAATGGAATAGCTTTGTCCACAAAACTTGCACCGGCGGCTTTTTCCGTCAGAAGCCGTCTCGAAAAACTTGAGATAAACCGATGTCATAGTCTTCTTTCTGGGTTTGGTTGAAGGGGTACAATTTCCCCGGTCCGAGGAGACCAAACCGTTATCCACCGGATCAACGATTGGAATCATCGCCATGTCCATCATTGGTTTGGGTTCCACCTCTAATCCACCAAGAACAAATCAAAACCACTTTTGATCTCGAATCGAAAAACAAAAGGAAAAACGTAAACTTTCATCTGATCGGGCAAGTGCTTTCAGCAATCAGCTCATGAACTCATGGCATCGCAATCCAACGACAAAATTTAACAAAAAATTATGAATTCAATTTGAACTTTTTTGAAATTCAGCTCAGAAACTCAATCCAACATACAGAAAGAGAGACTTTAGCAGCAAAACCCGAAATTTGGCGATTTGGGAAAGTACCTTTGAAGGTTTTGAAACCGCTGTTTGCAGCCCAGTTCAATTGATATGCTGCTTTTGCAGCTGCCCAACAAACCTGAAATTCAACAAATTGATAAAGTTTTGGGCTTTTGGATGTAGGGCAGCTGCCCAAACAGTCCCTCACTCGGTGACTCGGTCAGTCACCTGGCTCTGAGTTAAAAGAGCGAATCGGTCAGCAGGTTGAATCGAAGAGAAGATGAGAGAGACAGAACTGAGGAGAGAGGGAAAAAAATGGAGGGAGATGGAAGTTGGAAGCGGAACGGCGCCAAGAGTGAGCCGGATCGCAGCCGAGCGAGGAGAGAGAGACAGCGAAGATTGTGGAGTTGCAGAGCCGCGAGCGACGCCCGAGCCGTAGATCTAAAATCTCAACATCTTCGACGGCTTCCAAAAGTAAACGCTCACTCTCACTCGCTCACAGACTCGGTAGAGAGAGAGAGATGAGGGCTCGGCTGCTTGGTTGCGGTGGGCTTGCGGCGGCTAACTTTTGAGTGAATTATATGGAATTGTTGAGCCCCAGGCGGCCAGGCCCAAGCTATATATATCTATGGCTTCAGTTTCTGGCTCCACCAGCCCATTTTCAAATTTAACGTTCACTTTTTCTCTTTTTTCTTTTCTTTGGAAATGAATTAAACGTGAGAAGTATTATTGGCACTCCAAAAATTTCATTCTACACTCTTCACAAGTGTATTTTTCTTTCTAAATATAGAAAATTTGGAGTGTAGAATGAGAAATTTGGAGTGCCAATAGCAATTCCCTTAAATGTTCAATTTTTATTTATTTATTTGAACGATATTTTAGTCTAATCTAATAGGAAAGAGGAGAGTTCAAACTTAGGCTTATGTGAGGCGTACTATTATAGTCGTTTAATCAGTCTTTTTGTAACTTGTTAATTTTATAATACTTATAAATCAACGTTTTAAATTCAACTAACATTCGTTGGATCATCATGGAGGGGAAAAAATTGCTCACCATGATGACTTGATTGTTCAAAAGTTACCCATCATGTTTGAAAAGTATAATATAAAATATGATAGTACATTTTACCCTCACTTATGCCAATGGTTCTCGACAAAAATACTACGATTATCATTTTTTTATACCACATTTGTACTATCATTTTAACAGAAACGGAATTCACATGTGTTGATAGGCTCTACATAGCACGAAAAATGCGATAAGTATAGCATTGCTCAAAAATGTAGAAATGAATAGGTGCATGATGTTGTATACCAATGATTGAAAATAAAAGATCTAAATATTTGTGAAAATCAAATCTAACAGCTAAAACGCTCGTACCATTAACTGAAACATAGCATTGAAGCCACACTAGGTATGTATTAATACATATCACTGAAATTGGTGAAGTGGATTTACCAAATACTTGAACTTGATTTAATGAGAGGCTAGCTTTAGGTACTACCGCGGGTTGCCCACTTGCCCATGCAATGTAAATGAAAGGGATGTAGACAATAATTACAATCCTTATAATTACAAGAAAAATGACGTTAATAGATTTTCTAAAACCCATAAAATTTTGCTTCATAGATCATGTCAGCTGCAATTAAAACTAATTCGTTTGTAAATTTGTATATGTCGGTCAGTTGGTGGGGAAAAACTTACATGCACCTCTCGAGACTCCACTGTGACATCCCGACGAGTGCATGTAAGTCTCCATCATGTTTTCGAATTCAAGAAAAAATTGCAAAATCGGACATTTTCGAGGTTGGAAAATCCATGCCATGCCCAATTGTGTTGTGCCCAAAATCGCTTAATCAGCTGAACCTGCTGCTGTGCATTTGAAATGAAATGTGTACATATATTTGTGCTTCCTTTGAAGAACTATGTATTTCTCTTTCTCCTTGACTTCCTTGATTTCCAAAAGATTGCATAAGGGTTTGGGCAGATTCTGTATGGAACTTTTGGTTGAGGAACATCAGGGACACTGCAATATTATTCATGTACAAAACAAAATATCCATTAATCGCTAATATCAGTCTTTCTACAATGTGGTTAACTACACTTTAAAATCGGCAACTGTAAAGTGAAGTCAATGCATCAACAATATCATGCTGACCACATATGCACGACATACAGTATCCGGGTTTTGAAAAGATGCAGTTAACCCCATTGTAATTAACCACATTGTAATATTGTATGTGTGTGTGTGTGAAGCAGGTAAAAAATTTAGGTTTGAAATATTCTTACTGTAATCCAGCAATGTCAATCTGTGAAAAGTCCATGTTGTTGGTTGAACTGTCGAGGAGGGCTGGTGTGGCAGCTCCACTGGTATTACTACTACTTGTCCTCTTACTACTTAATGGTGATGAGGGAGGTGGTGGTTGCTTGATGGCCAGAACTCTGCAATTCAAGTTGTTTGCAACACTAGTACTGCTGTGGGACATTGCCAACCTACATATACACACCAATTACACCAAATTATAAATTAATCACTATCACCTCAATTATGATCCAACCTATCATGTTTATAATATATTGTGCATGAAAATTGACAACTTTAATATGAAAGGAATTTGAATTAAACAATGTTGCTATGATAGTGAAGCATAGCAAGAAAGTCAAACCTAGCATGTATTATATATCAAGAGAAATGTGAAGGGACTCTCTTAAAGTGAGATTCTCTGTCACCTCACAGTTTAATGTCAATTTCCATGTCAAGTCTAACTTTTGAGAGAGTCTCCTTAGCACTTCTCTATTTATCAATATATATATATATATATATAAGACGTGACTAGAACAATGTGTTATTCCCTCTGCATATAAACTTGAATTCTCTTTTCAGTAGTTTAAAAGAATTTAGTATAAAAAAATGAAATGGATATAACGAAAGTATTCCAAAAGTTATATTCTTTCTGAATTATATAATTTCATGGATGAAATATTTTGTGTATCATGAGTTCAAATTAATAGGAAAGAATCATTTGTGAAGAACAAATAAAAGAAACATCCAAAAATTCTGATAGGGAAACTCAGGACCACACCTGCAATTGTAAATAATATAATTGAAAACTCTATCTAACATTATAAGATTATTCAAATTCCTCAAGGACTTGTTGGATTCAATTCAAATTCCTAGCTCAAGAAATATTCTCATTAATTAACATTTGAAAACTTGGCATTGAAAACTATCTAACATTATAAGATTATTCAAATTCCTCAAGGAGTTGTTGGATTCAATTCAAATTCCTCAAGAAATATTCTCATTAATTAACATTTGAAAACTTGGCATTATGTAAACATCATGTTTGGCTAATATTTACTATCTGCCTAAAAGATGGACAAGTGGGTATGGTCTTTCTAAATCATTGTCCAATGATTCTTGATGAACCACATACTATGACCAAAAGCCAAAAAGGCAATCTACAAAGAAAAACTAGATTTTTTTGTGTATCTCTCTCTTTTCTTTTACTAATCTCGTTTAAGAGGGACATGAGGAGAAATATGCGCAAAGTAATATACAACTCGTTGCATCAGAAATCTTTCCCCAAATCTACCCCTATTGTAGGAGAAATTCTTTAATTAGTCGGTAGAGATAACACATTACCCGTTTGATCATACACAATAAAAACGACAGCCACCTAAGTATAGGGTCCCACACGAGTGTATGCAGGTTCGCTATTTTATTCCACCAGCATGCACATGCATAGCAACATACTGGTCATACATGACTCAAATATTGAGCCATATATGGTCCCATTCCCAACCCACTCCGGCCATGCTTGCTCTATCACACGCTACATATTAAATAAGGCATAAAAGAAAAGAGTTGATGAGGTAATGAATAATTGGATACCCATATCTGCCAGTTGACTCTTCTCTTCTGCAGGTCCTTCATCTCCAATGGAGAAAAAATTGTGTACGGCACATGGACATAGGATAATTCTCACAGACGCATGAAACGTTTCGTATTTTGAGTACACCGAATACTACATTAGTTTCAGCCATCATGAGAGCTATTTTATCAAAGTTTCTCTTCTTACTATGAACTCACGTTACCTATCTCTCAATTCCAAAATTAAATGCTTTAAATTATCATCAAGAACTTAATCCCGTCGTGATCATCACAATGATTAAAATCAAACACATAATTACATAGAGATTAAAATCAATGTTCTAATTAAACCAATAATCTCAACAAACTTACCTGTAGAGAAAGCTGTGATCATGGAGTCCAAGAACAAGAGCTGAAGCCCCAATCTCTCTGACCAAAGCTGCAATCTTCTTCCCATCTTGATCACCTTCTGCGACAATCATTTCAACCTTGGTCTGTAAATCATCATCATATACACTGGTAATTTGAACATACATATATATAATCAGCAACATTAACTCACACATATATACAAAAAAAAAGGTTAATTAATACTTGAGAAAAACGATTAATGTAAGGTTAATATATAAAGGAAAATTGGTCGAAATGATCGTTTTACAAATTCGAATTCCTGAAATGATCAGTTTTCAATACGTTGATCACCTATATTATAACACACATAAAACACGTACGTTGGGGAAGGTGTTGCAGATTTCTTTGAAGGAGAGGGTCAACTGGAAGCCTTTCAAGCGGAGAAGCCTGGATTTGTTCTTGTTTCTGGATCTTGAGGTTGGAAAAACATGAACCAGAGTTATCCAGTCTCCAAACCTAACCAGGTTGTGGAGTGCCCATCGAAGAGCTGTTCTTGCTGCTTCCACGTCTTCAACTACTACCACTATTCTCCTCACATCCATTACCGGCCGCCACCCACCTGCTCTTCCCTCCCTCCTCTCTCTCTCTCTCTCTCTCTCTCTCTCTCTCTCTCTCTAGAAATAGATGCCAAAACTCTCTAAACACAGATCATTCATGACTTGTCTCTTTCTCGGCTTCTTTTAAATGAGTTTGATATACATGTCAATCATCTTTCTTCCTTCACCTCAATATTTAATTTGACAAATAATATTACTATATTAGGGTATTGTACAACATTCCTTGGTTATTTTTTCGTGCACAAATTATAAGATGACATAAATAGATCGTTTAGTCATATCTATTATTGATATTTATTCTATATAGATAAATTTTCACATATTCGCGAACAATTTATATTTAACATGACATAAATTATGATAGGTTGACGAGTTAAAGGTCACAAATGTGGACCAATGTAATGCTTATTAATTTTCAATGTAATCGTCATGCGTTCATATTGTGTTAACAAAACATTTATATTCAAACACGTATGACTATTAATTAGTACATTCCATGCACAAATCGATAAAACATAACTATGTCAACCACTTAATCATAATATATCCATTTGTACATCGCGCAATAGTTGATACTTTCAATTCCAGTAATGATTTTCAAAATACGGGAAGTTTATGCTTTCATTTTTTTTTTTTTTTTGTCAAACGATAGATTTTGTTAGATTAGTCTCCGTCGGAGTTTGAACCATACCTAGAGTTTATGCTTTCATGAGTAAAAGAATATTGTTAATCTCTCTAGAAACAGATGCCAAATTAAATATTTATTTTCCAAGTTTAAAAATAAGTATATTACTTCAAGCCGCCTTACATATTCCCTTAACTATTTGACTGATTATTTTTCATGATTTGATGAGATTTTGAGTACTAACCTTGATTTGTTTTAGAAGTTTGAAACTACATGGATCGTGCCAGTTAGTGCTTTTGGAATCTGAAACCTAGAAAATTGGCTCCACTTTTCCAGCAACATTTCAAAAATTAAATTAATGATTGAAAAACAGAAACTCGGATACGGGCAAAAAATCTGTCCAAGGGATAAAACAGAATTGACAAATTTTTTCGGATATCTGAAAATTTAAAAAAAAAATATTTGCCACCTAATTCACCTATTATTTTATATAATTACATGACAAATAAGAACCCTAATCCCACATAATATGAATTATTTTATGGAAAAAGAATAATAAAAAGTGTTTTTGTAACGCACTTCATGGATGCTTAGCTACACAAAGTACAAATCAAAATAGTATCTCCCTCTGGCTGATACACCACTTACATTAAAAATTTATATAAATTGGAAATGAAGTCATGGGGGCTTCGTCGCATTGCTTTTCTAATCACAAAACGATGGGAAAAAGGGGTCGTATCATGAGTTGATTCTACTGTTCTGTCGCTGTGTTTTTGCATCTATCTCTTTGTTTTGGTTCTTCTGTTTCTGTGGTTCCAAGTGCACAAAGGTAGGGTGGTGAAAATTGCTTTCCTAAAATATGCATGAAATTCATAACCCTAGTTGCATCTCAGCAGGCAGAAATGTGTATAAAAACAAAGAAAATGAAATCCATATCAGCAAACTGCCAAATCAGTTCATGTTTTGCATCTAATCATATTCAACTCGTTAATTTTCTTCGTTTTCTCTTGGCTTTCTGACTATATTGTTAATTGGGGACGGAAAAGCATTTCATTTTATAAGTTTTATTTTTCACGAATTTCGTTCTTTGAAATTAACATCCGCTGTAGCAATCTTCAATTAAAATACCAGGTTTGACTGCCGGCAGAAAAACTTTTTGTACATGGTAAATTTCTGTCATCTTCAATATTGACAAAATTGTACCTACAAAACAAATAAACACATTTGATCAAGGGTGACAAAGCAACACGCCCACGAGGTGGGGGGGGGGGGGGGGTTTGACCAATTGATCTCCGATGCCTAAGTAAATTTCTTTGAAAATAGAGAGTTTAGGCTTAAGTGCGTACCAAAAACTTAATTGCCAGAAATTAGTGTAGATGAGTTATTTACAGGGAGGTGGTCGGCCATAAGAGGTAGGGTTTTGCCCTACATATGGTGGCTTTCCAATTGCCCAGGTGAGTCATCCGAAGTATGGATGAGGAAAGAATAATCCCAAAAATATTAAGGGGGTGTATTCAATTGAGATTTTGAGATATTTTAATTATTTTAATGAATCTAGGGGTATTCAATCAGGATTTTAAGTGATTCTCTGAAATTAAAGGTGTCACATCCTGGCCTGGGCCCCCACCACATCCTAGGTTCGACTCCACCATAGCACGATATTGTCCGCTTTGGGCCCCGATCACACCCTCATGGTTTTATTTCTGGGAACTCACACGAGAACTTCTCCGTGGGTCACCTATCTTGGGATTGCTCTCGCGCGAACTTGCTTAACTTCGGAGTTCCAATGGAACTCAAAGCCAGTGAGCTCCCAAAAGGTCTCGTGTTAGGTAGAGATGAGAATATACATATAAGGCTTACAGGATCCACTCCCATGGGCGATGTGAGATGTTACAATCCATGCCCCTTAGGTGCCCGACATCCTCGTCGGCACACTTCCGGTCAGGGATTGGCTTTGATACCAAATTGTCACATCCCGGCTTGGGCCCCCACCACATCCCGGGCTCGATTCCGCGCGAAACTCGCTTAACTTCGGAGTTTCGATGGAACCTGAAGCCAGTGAGCTCCCAAAAGGCCTCGTGCTAGGTAGAGATGAGAATATACATATAAGGCTTACAGGATCCACTCCCCTGGGCGATGTGGGATGTTACAAAAGGTGTATTCAATTAAAATGTTAAAATAGTTTATTAAAATCCTTATAAATCCGGATGTATTCAATTAGGATTTTAAAGAAGTTTATAACATTCCAGGTGTATTCAATTAGAAATTGATTATAAATAATTTGAGAAAGTTGAGGAATTAGAGGAAATTTGAGAGATTTCGTAGTGTATTTTATGCATCCACAAATCTCACATCTCCCCATGAGATTTTGAGGAATTGAATCAAAATTTTATATAGAATCTCTACAAATCAATAAATAACATATTGAATTATCTCGGAAGTATCTTTGATTGGATATGATTGTGATTCCTTCTTTGATAGAGTTGTCATTCCATTTGGAGAGTATTAAAGATAGGATTTAGTAATAAGTCCTATTTTTAATGTCTTTTTTTTTTTTTTTTGTCAAACTATTTTTTATGTCTTTCACTTTTCCTTCGTGTCATGGGGAAAAGAGCTTAATGAAGTTGTAGTCAGCTACTGAGCTGCACATGGAAATCTTTGTGGGCTTTGTCAAATTAATAAGGACCTTCTTGTCTTTTTCGAGTAAACATTCACGCGTTAACTCCAAAAAAAAATTAAATTATTTTTTAATCCACAATAGCAAATTAACTTTATTTAAATCCCACTAACTTAGCATTTTATAACTTTTATTTTTAATTAATTCCCTTTTGCTAACTAATAACTAATATGAAGATTCATTTTGATTTAGCCCCACACATATCCTTGTTAGGATCACCACTGTCTTTATTCCCTAGAGTAATTTCAGCCAAATACAAAGAAGAAATTATTTTATAACCACAATATACTCATGAGCTGGTTTGTGTCTGAAGCCGAATAAGCTAACAAAATTGATATGATTTTATATGCCAAAACTGGCTTATACACAATGCTCATTTAGGTTAAGGTTAGGTATATGAGCAATGATGATTAGCTACCGAAATAGATACAATTTTTTTTTTTGTGTCAAACAATAGATTTTATTAGATTAGATGTTAGATTGGCTAACGACAGGGTTTGAACCCACACTGTCATGAAAGAACTCAACACTTTTCTACCATTGTGATAAAATTCCACTTGCAAAATAGATACGATTTTAGTTTCACGTATTTTGTTGAACAATTTAAAGGTTACTTTTGGTGTCTAGAATTGACTTAAATTAAATAAAGGCTTTTTTATGCAAAATGGTCTCTAATATTTGCATAACTCTTCATTTTGGTTCCTAAGTTTGTCCACAATCAATCATTTTGGTCATTCCATGAAAAATCTCCATTGAATAAGGATAAAATGACAAAAATATCCTTAATTTTTGTCAAATCATTTTGGCCTATATATTGTTTATTAAATTGAGGATAGTTTTGTCATTTTAATATTTATTTAACATAACTATTCACGGAAGGACCAAAATGATTGATGGTGGATAACCTCAAGGACCACTCGTATTGATTTCAAATTTCAGAGACCAAAATCTCAGAAACTATTTTAGCTATAAAACCTTTAATAAATTATTAGATTTAGTGAATGTTGGACGGCAAACAAATTTACTTATTTTGTCAAAGGGAAGGTGAAATATAAATTAGTCATGAAATTGAAACTCAACTTTTTTAATATCTACAAAAATGGTACAATTGCAAGCTAGCGATAATCCATGAGAAATTCATTGAATAAACTTTTAACTAAGGTGACGAAAAGAATAAACTTTTAAGTTTGACGAGGAGAATATAAAAAATTGTTATATATGATAATACAAATAGTTGGTAAATGTAGCACTACTCGAAGTATATAGGATCCATTTTGCTGTACTGTTGTGCTTATTTGGAAACTTACCAGACGCTTAATTACCTAAAAGAAAATCCATACTACCATATACATATAAATATATCGAAAGGAAATCTTGCAAATTTGCAAAGTAATATGATTATGTATGTACAGAAAGCCTTTGGAGAAAACAAGAAAAATAAAACTCAATTTCCGAATCCGAAACAAAAAAATCTGTATGTACTTATCTGGAAATCATATATATATATATATATATATATATATATATATAATCTATGAAATCATCTCCTTCTCCATTTCATTTTTCTTTAAATTTACATGCTTGCTGCTGGTTCAAATTTATCTTCAACAATGGCCAAAACCCTAATCCCAAATATTTTTCTTGTGCTTGTAGTTTTGATCTCCCTGGGCACGCATGCCCTAAGTGACAAAGGCGTCGCAAGGTTTCTTCTATACCATAGAGAAAAGTTCATGGCATCACATTTCAAGGACCATCACTCCCTCGTCAAGGCTCGATTGGCCCGGGATAGGGCACGCTTCAAACTCCTTTATCGGCGTCACCTCCAGCACTCGAATTCTGCTCCATTTCTACGCCCAAACGTCGATTTCAATGAGACCAACGTGTTCGAGGAAGGCGGGGAGTACGTGACCGTTTTGAAAGTGGGAAATCCACCACAAAAAGTGCAACTTCTTGTAGACATGGGCACACCCTTCACATGGTGGCAGTGCCAACCAGGGTGCATCCAATGCTACTCAACACCACACCATATTTTTGATACGAGCATGTCATCCACGTACACTCAGACTGATTTCTTTAATGGACCATGTGATGTACAGCAGCTCTACATACAAGGTTGTGTTCATCGTGGTGAGCACCAGTGTCGTTTCAGCGTTCATTATGTAGATCGATCTGTCTCCGAAGGTATCATGGCCACAGATACCATATCTACCGATGAGGGTGTGCATCTCAGTAACAATTTCTCTTTTGGATGTGGAGGTCGTATTACAGGTACATAATATATTAACTTTAACGCTCGGATTACAAATGAAATAATCTACTATCACGTCATTTGGTGAATAAAACTTAACATGATCGTTCATTAGGTATAGACATGTTCAATGAGGCCGCGACTAGAATCCTAGGCTTCGTGCCGAGTGGATATTCATTTCCGACTCAACTCCAAGCTAACAATTTTACCTTCTGTCTGCCTTATTACAATACAACCGACGGTGGAACGTTGGACTTGAATTATTACGATGAATTGCGGTTTCAACATTCGAGTACAGCAATTCTGGACATCAGAATGGACCGTTATTATTTGTTGTTCAGTGGGATAGAAATGAACTAGGAAGCAATTCCAATTCCTCCTGAATTCTGGGAATTTGATTCGATGGTGTTGGGGGTGTGACTATTGACACAGGGACTACAATCACCAAGTTTCTCGAGAAGGCCTATGACATATTCAGGACTACTTCATCCGCAACGCTCAGGGTTTGCCTCGAGCTCCCGGCGAAGATCAGTTAGACACTTGTTTTTATGTGAAAGGTGTCTACGAGTGGACTGACCTCGTTCCCAAGGTTAAATAGTTAGAGTCATCTTTTTTTCTTTTTTTTTTTTTTTTTTTTAGAGTTACATTGATTGGTTTTCAATTAGATTTCGAAATTGATTTTAACTCATTTACCAGTTCTACAGGTTAAATTTTTGTTTAAGGTGAGGAATCCGCCGTTGGAGTTAGGACGTTCGTCAGGTTGTCATGGCTGTGAGCGACGACAAGTACTGCCTTGCATTTGCCGCCGGTGGAAGAACCTCAATCATTGGAAGCTGGCAGCTTCAGGGGTCACATATTGGATTTAAGCTTCCTAGTCATGTTCTAGGAATTCAACCTAGAAGTTGTTACTAATTTTAATTCATTAAAATGTTGCTACCACATAATTGTCTTCGGTTTTACTTGATTTAAGTTACATAGTCTACTTAGCCAATAGAAAGTGTACGGTCTAGATTCAATCCATCTTTGTATGACTCACAGGTCTCAGATGATAGCCAAGTGTCATGCCATTAGTGATGACCTAGTATGAATGGCTTGGATTGGAAATTGTGTAATGTGTAAGAGAATGTTTTGATGTGAGGTCTGCAAGAGCATTTGTGTCGCTTTCTTTTTACAATATATACAGAAATATCTGAAAATAAGGGGTGGGCACTTGGAACTGAAAATTGAAACCGAAACGGTTTGGTTTTACAATTTTGAAACGATTGCGGTTTTAAAACCGAATCACAGTGTAGGAAATAGTTTGGTTTTGACTTTAGAAAACCGCACCACAAATATTAGATGTCATGTTTTAATTGGTTATTTGTTAGAGTCTATACATTCAATATGAACTTAACCACACTAGAATATCATCACTCATCAGTCTCTCTCAAAACTCTGTCAGAATATCAAATTAACTAGTAGAGTGAGAAGATTAATTCTCCTCATAGTGAGTGTGTATAAATGTGGTTAAAAATAGAATTCCAAATTCCACACGTAAAGGATCTTAATTTCTGGTCTCGACCCGGCTATATTTGGTCAGAGTAGACATATGTTCTGCAACCCAAAATGTACGTACGTAGGAGCTCTAGTACCAGAAGAGGAATTCTTTAGTCAATTGGACAGAGAGGAAATTTTTTAAACACCAAGGCTCATCACATCTCTAACATTATTTGAAATCGTTTGAAACCGTCTTATGCATAGATAGGTGCAAATGTTAAACTGTATATTTTTTCTTAAAAACCGAACCAAAATCGTTTAAAACCATACCGAACTGAACTAAACGGTTTGGTTTCATTTCGGTTTTTTTTTTGCTTCAAAACTGCACTGAACCAAACTGCAAAAAGTTTTGGTTTCGGTTTTGGTTTTACTCAAAACCGCACTGAACCGAACTATGTCCACCCCTATCTGAAATGTTTTTCTTCCTCATTCCTTTATTCCTTCTTCAATTTCTTTGCAAATCCAGAAACTAAAAACATAACCAAACACTAAATTCCAACATGGTATCCAGAGCTTAAGGAATTGACATGTATTATGTAACATCTTGCACTTTCTTTTAGTCGACATGGAGAATGATCTAGTATGAGTAGAGGCCATGACGCTCTATTGCAATGGCAAAAAACAATTATATTTATGCACCCTTATGCAGGTTTGATCTTCACTGACTCCCTCCCCCCTAACATTTAACAATTGAACCCACTAGCACTATTGTTTGTAAAAAAAAGAAAAACTAATGCAAGTGGAGGACTAAAGAACAAAAAAAGGCATTGGCTTGAAGGATTAGGCAAGCCAAACTATACATGATAGGCTTAGTCGTTGAACAACTATTGTAACCTACCTTTGCCCACCAGAACGATTAAGAGGAACCAAAGCCCTTGATAGAGAATACAATCCTCAAATCTCGTACGATATAATACTGTGATGTCATTATCAGATAAGAGAATAGAGAAACACTTGAGTATCACGTGATGAGGGATATACTCAGTGACGTGCAATTGGGTTTAAAAAAAACCCGTGTTTACGGAAATTATCTCCAGACCGGACCATTCTTGTTTTTTTTATTTGGGTACAAAAGTAGGCCCATTATTAAACTTGGTATTTGGGCTTAAATCTAGAACCCAAAATCTTCCTTCCTCCGAAGTCCCAAAGGGTTTAAGCTGCCCAACCAAAAACCCTCAAAAATCAAAAGGGAAGGAACCACCAGTAACCATTTTCCTCTCACCAAAAATGGCTTCCTCTTCCATGGCCAGGCTCTCGAGGACGCTCTCTCGTTCTATGCAAGCAAACTCCAGGACTTTACTCTCCATGCGCTTCTACACCACCACTACCACCACCGGCACCTCCTCCTCCAGCAGTGACAGCTCCGACTCGGACGAGTCCAACCCTCTCAAGTCGGAGGCAGAGTCAACCTCGGGCGACGCCTCCCAACCGCCGCCTCCGTCCGATGAACCCATTCGAAGAAGCTTCATCTACGATCGCCCGCTCGAGAACGGCCTCGACGCCGGCATTTATAAGGTACATTTCAATTCAGTGTCACCGTTCCGATGATTTACTAGTCTCAAAATTTAAGGATTTAGGGTTTTAATTGTGTGCATCCGCGGGTGTATATGTGCAGGCGATTTTGGTGGGGCAGGTGGGGCAGAGTCCTTTGCAGAAGAGGCTGAAGAGCGGGGCATCCGTAACCATGTTTTCAATTGGGACCGGCGGGATTCGGAACAACCGGCGGCCGTTGGATAACGAGGACCCGGTGGAGTATGCGAACCGCTGCAACTGTCCAGTGGCACCGCGTGTGTGCATTTATCCGGACCGGCTTAGCATGATTGCCATGAAGAATGCTGTGCCTGGGTGAGAGGTTTTTTTCTACAGCTGTTATCATGTTCTAATTTGCGTTACTTTTTCTGATTGTGTATGATATATGACCATCTTTACGTAAAACAGATCGCGTTTTCCGAAAAAAGGATGAATCGTTTTTGTACAAATGTGTGTAAAATGGATTTGGACTAGCTTTTGTGTGATTAGGAAGATTTGGTAGTGCTTTTGTATAATGGAGACTAGGAAAATTGTTGATATCGGCAGAAGTTGGAAGGGTTACGAGCAATTTTTGGTATTTGATTCGAAATGGAACATTAGGAAGTAAGGACGGTTTGCTGGAATCAGTCGAAATTGTAACATAGTGACCAGGTAGAGACGTATAGAGGGAGTGGGGAATAGTGTCTTTTGGGATGCATCAAATTGATGGAAGAAGAGTTGTTTGAGTTGCCGTAATTCTGGACGTGATGAAGGAAAGTAAATAACAGATTCTTTGGCTTGAGGTTTGAAGTTGCCGTTTTAATAACATTCTGGTTTGTCATTGCAAAGAATGTATCTGTTTTGCGTTTGCAATAATTTGTCATAACTTAACTCCGCTGCATCTTTCTTATGGTGATCATGGCCTCCTTCCTCAAGTTCAGAACTTTGGTTTTGTTATTTGGAGATAATCGTTTCTGCAGTTGGCGATGACATATTGAAATTTGATATGTTGCAGTTCGATTATATATGTGGAAGGTAATCTGGAGACCAAAATCTTCGCTGATCCGGTTAGTGGGCTTGTTCGACGAGTTAGAGAGATTTCTATTCGCAGAAACGGTATGTACTTATCTATTTACATTGTCTAAGATACGCTTTGTATACTCAACCTGAATATCTATATGTTATACTTCTCATCATGTTGATACATTCTTTTGCCCGTAATTCGCAGGTCGCCTTGTGTTTTTGGGCAAAGGTGATGGTGCTGAGCAATCACCAAAATGGGGGCTCAAAGGTGTTGGCTACTACTAAAAAGCTTTGTTTTAACCTTTAAGCGGCACAGATCTGCTCGACGAAAGACCAATTCTTTCGTTTGTAATTAACGTTCTGTTGCATCCCAAGTAGCTGAGATTGAGATTTCTTGTTCCAAACATGGCTGTTAAACTTCTCAATCCGATTCAACAATTCGCTCTCTTTTCAATCTGTTTCGGCATGCTCAAATTTAGATTGCATCCTCCTTACAAGGTGAAATTCTAAGCTACTATAATTTACGGATAAAGAGACCTGAAAATAGTTGCAAAAAAGGTGGGCACACTTCCCCTGACGAACTAGCCTAATCCACATTGGTATTTCGGATTGACCGTTGTCGTATGTTGAGGACACAAAATTTGGACCTTCCAATGCATTTGGATAAGCTTTGGGTCTTTCTTAACCACGAAAAATCTCCACGTCCAAAAGAAAGAGAATAAAGAAAATTGTAGGAAGATTTCTTCTTCCAAAACAGAGATGTTACCAAGCCCGAAATTCTTGCAATCGTCCAGGACCTCCACTCAATGCCTTCATCTTCCAACGCCATCGCCGCCTCCTCCGCCGCCCATTCCACAACTCCAAGGCGTATCCACTTCCTCATCTTTTCCTTCCATCAAACAGTGCAGCAAAGTATCGCGCAGAGAGCTCGTGATTCGTAGCAATTCTCTGTTACTTCTCCTCCTCGGCTCGCAGAGTGTAGAGGGTTTGTTGCCGTCTAAAGCACGAGCCGAGAACTTGGAAGACACCAATAGCAATGAAGAAGCAGCAGAAACTTTAAACGCTACTGCGAGTGCTACTTGCGTTGATAGAAGCCCGACAAAGCGTGCATTTCTCGATATATCAATTGACGGAGAACCTGTTGGTCGGATTATAATTGGGCTACATGAAGACGATGCTCCAGTTGGCGCTGCTAGATTTGGTAGTCTTGTCAGCGGAGCTGCTGGCACTAGCTACAGAAGGAAAGAGTTCGTTAAGATTATGCCCAACTATGTTCAGCACGGCGGAGTGAGATCTTTCGGTGTAGACGCTGAGCTTGCAAAGAAGACAGGAAGCAATTTGGAAGTTGATAGTCTCAATGAAGAGTGGGAGAGATTGAACGAAAAGTGTCCGGGCATCAAGAACAAGGCCGGAACTGTGAGCATTATCGTGAGAGACCCGTTGAAACCACCCCCGAAGATAAAGCTGGTTGCGCGGAAAGGGAAGCTGGAGATTGATCAGGAGGAGGTTGGGACAGCCCCGAATGGAACGGAGTTCGTGATCACTACGAAGGATTCGCCTGAGCTCGATGCTTCAGCTTTGGTGGTCGGAACAGTCTTAGAAGGTAAGGAGGTCGTGGAGAGGCTGGGGCAGGTAAAAACCGTGCAGGAGAACACTAGTTCACCGTATTTCAGGTGAGTACTACACCTCTGTATTGTTACGTATCGCCTTTCCCAATTTGTGATGATATACACTGACCATCCACCTTCCGGTGGCTGGCAGGGTGGCCAAGCTGATCGGAGATAAGAGAGCTGTTGTGGCAGAAAGAGGATTCAACCGGCCTTACGCGAAGGTGATTGTCACAAACTGCGGCTTGATAAAGTAACAGAATCTCCGTCGCGGCATTTCTTTTTTTCTTTCCATTTTTGTAACAAGAGACTTTCACCATTCTATCCATCAAAATTTCAAATGCTATGTTTATCAAAATTGTAAGAACGTTACAGTTTAATGCACAGGCTGCACTCGAGCGATAAAGGAATGTAACGAACTTACACTCTAATCTTGTAAATACGACATTTTTAAGCTCTCGAGTGGGACTAATGCCACGAGAGGGACTTTCGAATGGAGACATTACAATCTAACCTCTCTAATATCAACCGATTCTGTACCTGCTTGAGTCCCATTTTACAGGCAACCAAAAATCACCCATCTATTGATCCGAACTTCGAGTTGTTAAAACAGTTGGCTTCATTCTTTTGGGAGATGGAGACATGAAGAGATTTCTAATTGAAGTGATAGGGTCATCAACCTGCATGATTGATCAAATATCAAATGATGACTCTCTTCAGAATGCAAACCTAAATATACGTGCAAGAACACAGACAGGCTACAATTGTGCAAAGATGCGTGCGAGTGTGTGCTACACTATGATGGGAACTGGAACTAGAAGTGCCAGTCTGGTAGATGAGTTCCAAAACATAGGCTGAGAAGGGCGCTGCCCATCTCCATCAACATGTAGCCATGTAGGCACACAAGGTACTATTTAGCATATCACTAGGACAGTAGAAGTGGGCTGCAGAATACCTTAATTATGGATGCTGACGAAGGAGAGCCGCCTTCCTGACGTTGTAAAGCAGATAGTGTTTGCTTCCATCCAGGTGCCCCATTACCCGTTGATGCAATCCAAGGACAGAAATATCTGTGCTGCCTGATAGGATCAAACTCCATCCTGCTATCAGGCACTACATGCTTTAGGTCCTTCCCTGGAAGAATAGACAAAGCAAATTATTAAAACATATTTTGGTACCGTAAGGGAATTCTAGCACTGACAAGAGTATAGGAGGGCGTGTTTGCATACGAATTACAGGCTGCTAACATCATTTTTTATTATAAAATCTAGACCAATTAGCCAACTGGCATCAGCTTGAGGTTATAGTTGGACCAAATATAACAGATGCAAAAGCTATATAGTTTACGTTAATGTTTGCATTCAATAAGAAAGCAATAAATATTGCTTACCACTACTGCAGGCCACAAGTTCATTGTTTGCAGGAATCTGCACTATGCCTTCACTAGCCTCCTTGTTTGAGGTGGGTTGGGGATCATTTCTGGAGCTGCTAAGATCTGCATTAGCTTCAAAGCTAGATGGAAGACTAGGAGACTCACGTTCTTCGCTGTGCTCTACAATGGTTCCTGAATGTAACAAGTCTCCCTTGCAAGAAACCATCACAAGTGAGTCACTTTTGTCCATTTCACCATTTAAATGTGTGACATTCGCATCAGGGGTTCCAGGGCCACTCACTTCTGAATTCTCCAGTCCACCATTCCCTGCATTTTCTTGGTAGTGATCTTCCTCTTTCTCCATCTGGGAATCAGATTGCATACCTTCCTGGCCAACAGACAAACAATCTCTCAATTCAGTATCATATGAAATCCGAGCCCTTAAATTCCGACCAATAACAGGCAACAAAATTTTTGCTTTGAAATTCTGATTTGTAGGTGGAGGACCCCCTGCAATTGTCAAATTTAAATTTGAGAATCTGTCCCTTGGCAATGTTGCACCATCTATGCCAGCATTTAAAATATCTGTCCTACTGTCGCAGTGACTTTCAGTGTTTGAATCATGGGTTCCAGAACGACTTTCAGAGTTTACTTCTGCATATCCAACTAATCTGAAACATTCCACAGGCCGTGGAACGGTAGAGAATGCCCATAATCCAACACTGGCTCCACAAAGCTTGCAGTCTAAAACAACAGAATTGTGTTCAGCCTGTATACTGGTATTGTGTGACTTCATAAGTTCATCATTACTAGCAGAGTGCATATTGATGCCCAGATTCTGTCTGTTGGTAGCTGAATAATTCAGTCTATTCTCAGAGTCAACAACATAAGGTAGTAAACGAGGTTCCCAGCCGCATAAACTTATGAGCTTTTGTGCCTGAAAAAAAAATGCTTTAAAACGTCATTGGTCTACATGAAGAAAGCAAGAATGCTAGAAACTGATAAGACAGACTTCTAAAAAACAAATCCAAAAGTGTTAAGAATTAAAGTCAGAAGATATGAAACAGCAATGCACAAATACATCCAAATGAAGATGTACATGAACAGGCGTGCAACTAAACAGGCACATACCTGATAATATAACTTGGCAGAATCTACACTGTCTTCATTGTCAGAATGTTCTGTTCTAGAAATGTCTCCAGACCCATTGCCATAAAACATTGAAGACTGTCCAAGAAATTGCTCTAGCTGAGGGCTCTTCATGTACTCAATGGCTGAAGAAGAAATCACAGGGAGAACTGAGAGTTCTAAAAGAGCATAGCAGTGTTCTCTAAATTTATCAACTAAAACTGGAGGTGGCGTAGGTGGAAACTCTGCCAGTGTTTCATCACATGCGTTGTCAATCCACGGACAGAGTATCTTATGCCCATTGTCAAGCCTTAAACTAAACACCAAAGCTGCCTTCTCAACTGGGAAACACAGGAAATCGGTTTACTTTACTATGAATATATTATTACAATATATTGTTACTTAATTTTACAGCATGGGTTTAATTGGAGGGAGATTTCACATAAAGAGAGACATAACATGCCTTGCTGCTGATTCCAAGATGACGGAGTAGAAAATAAGAGGCGTGCTCCGCACGATTCACACGCTAATATATCTGCATCCACATTGATCCAGCCTCTTCTGGCACAATTTAAAGCACTCACCACCTGTTCAAAGCTGGCAAATTCTTGTTTGTACATCCAAAAAAATTAAAGCTTTGTATTAAACAACGGCTCCACTGCAAACGACTCAATAAAGCCACTGTAGCTGTTTCAACATTACCCTAATTTTCACTAACCAGGGGCTAATTTCCAGACAGCATTTGTATTCGCCTATTCGGAGCTATTTTTGCAAACTAACAAGTAAACACTAACATTACAAAACATGTCATATTGGAAGACAGAATTCTAACCTTAGGCTTGGCAAACCAAGTCATGGACTTGAATGTAGCTACCCTCCTCATAAGATCCCCACGGTCCCACGGCCTACACAGCGGAGCAGGAGTCGCCACAGCTGGAGCTGAAAAATGCCGGGAGACCTCCATTCTATCGCCTCTCGATTTCGCTTCCACCAGTGCCAATGCGGATGAGGGATTTGCTCGCTTTTTGCCTCTCGAAGTTTGTACACCAGATGAACTGTTAGCAAAAAAAAAAAAAGGGCGAGAATTCCATGATTTGGCCACTAATTACATCAAAATTTCCATAAAATCTGAAGAAAAAGAAACAGAAAACTCGATTTATCGTAATTTTATTCAATATCTTGGATTATATGAAATAGTCAGGGATTTAACTAGCACTTGATAACACAAGTATAAAAATAAAAATTCTCTATTTGCAGCGCATTTTCTCGGGAAACAAACGGAAAACGAGCGAGAAAATTAAGAGCAAAATTGAAAAGAAGTATATATAGATAATATATACATATAACACAAACCTGGAATCGGAGCTAGGCGTAGATTTGGGAGCGAAAAATAGCTTGTCCATGATCGAGTGGAACTTTTTCTCTGAATCTTTCGACATTTTTTATTTCTTCTCACTTTCTTTTTTCCAGAAGAAGCTATGAAATTTGTTTCAGAGAGTTCAGAGTTCAGAACCTAGCAAGCGCTCCGATACGACGTCGTTTTCTGGTGGGGTGATTATGATGGATATCGTTTCACTTGTTTCTTTGCAGAAATTTTTTATTGTGACAAGAATAAGAGTGGTATACCATGTGTTTTTATGTAAATCGTAGAAAATTTTATTTTTTAAGTTATTAATTTTTTAATATACATACTCCATCGTTTGCATAGTGACACGTGATGTATCATGTGCTTACCACATTAAAATTCTCAATCTATTTTTCCGTTGCAATTTTTTAGCGGTAATTGACTCGTAGGGCCTCGAGGAGAGTTTGGGTTGGGCGGGTAGAACATGATCCAATTAAATAAGATTTGGGCCATGATGGCTACGGCAAAGTTGATGAACTGAAGAAGTAAAAAGACGTAATTAGAGAAATAATCCCTGAATTATTGCACAAATTGACGAATAGGGCAAGTGTGCAATATATTTGTTAACTTTCGGACTCCAAAAGCTAATATTTAAATTTAGGGGCAAAAACATAACTCATGAATCATTCTACAGTTTATTTTGACCATAATGAATCATTCATTAATTTAACTTGTTTTTCGTTTAACCAATGATTCGAATTATTGAAATGCCAGACAGTCACACGTGACTTTCTAAAATATTCAATTCCATATATCCAGAAATTTGAATTAAGGTACGAAAGCTAGTTTCACTCAGCAGCCTCATCATCTCAGCTGCCATTTGAAAAACACTTGTACCAAGTCAAAGATGGGGAGATAAGGGTTTTGTTTTCCTCTCGAACTCAAACCGCTACATCCATGCACCTCCACTTTTTACTCCCAAGAATCCTCACTTTTTACCCACCCGCAGTAAAAAACTAATTATCCATTTACCGAGCCTCACCCCTTCTTAACTCCCTCACAGTATAAATTGCAGTGCTCCCTTCCACATTCCATCAAACTATACGGCTCGTTTTGTTCTTGATAGGCAAAAGAGTGAGCTCCCTGCACAGTCCAAATGGCAACCTCCAAAGCATTTCTCTTCTTTTTTCTTCTTTCTACATCCCAAGTCCTTTTTGTATCTTGTACCAAATTCGAAGTTGGAGGCAAGAGTGGATGGGAGGTCCCGAAATCGAAGAACGGCCAACAAATGTACAACGAATGGGCTTCGAAAAACCGGTTCAAGGTCGATGACGCTCTCTGTAAGTCACTCTTCACTTACGTCAGAACAAAAATGATGATAGTCACTGTCATTAGTTGCACGGAATAAAATGGTATATACAAAGACATATCAGTCTTGATGCGTTTTTTATCGACCTTGTTTTGCGTAACTCATGTCAGTAACTATTGTAGGGTTTTCTTCTATTGAAATCAAAAGCTTCTTGCCCAAGATAAGATTCCTATTTAATTTGTTTTAAGTAACGTTTTGCTATGCTTTCTTCATGGACTTAGCCTTCAATTACACCAAAGACTCGGTGATGGTGGTGACCAAGGACGAGTACGAAAAATGCCACTCTGCCCATCCCATCTTCTTCTCCAACAACGGTGCAACTACGTTCACACTGGACCGGCCTGGTTTGTTCTACTTCGTCAGCGGAGTTGCTGGGCACTGCCAGAGAGGGCAGAAGATGATCATCAAGGTCTTGGAGCCGGCAAGCCCGCCTCAATCCGCTGATCAGAACGCAACGGACCCGTCACAGCCGAAGCATGGTTCGGCTGCAACGGCGGCCATCTCCTCTGCAGCAACTCTTGTGTTCTGCATGGTGTCATTTGTTGTGGTCTTTTTCTTCTAGTTGCAGTGATACGCGATGGTTTTTAATTATCTGTGTTTTTCCGTACCCCTAATCTGATTTTGGTCTTTTGAGATTAGAAGAGTGTAGACTTGAACTAATTTGGCTTTATGAATTTTAATCTTTTTTTGGAAGTATGACAATTTTTCCATAGATTACGATAAATGTTGATGGATGCCTCAATCGTTCTCACATAATTTCAAAAAAAATTAGAGTGATTCTCACCTTATTAACCTCAAGTATATCCTTATTTTTTTCCAAGGTTCTAAAAAACGCTAGACGCTAGTCAGGCGGTGGGTTAGTGCCTAGCGCCTATGCGGCTCTAGGCGGATTTAGGTAAATTTCTTTTATATCTTGTAAATAAGTTAACAATTTAAAACCACATAAAATGCAAAATAGGAGAAAATGAGGAAATATAGTAATGTGGATACATTTTTTTTTTAATTAAAAAATTAAAAATAAAAATAAAAATAAAAAAAAAAACAACTCCTAGCCGCCAGCCCTCCTAGGGCCGCCTAAAGCCCAACCAATTTGCAAGAAAACGCCTCGGGTCACCATCGCTCAGCGCCTAGGCCGTTTTTTAGAACATTGTTTTTTTCGTCTCAGTTTCATACTTGAATTTTGATTTTTCTAACACTTTAGTACTTCTGTTATGTTTTCCATCAAGTTCTACATTAAGTGATGAAGTGACATAACTTTGGCCTATCATATTTGTCACGTGATGAGAGATTCTCTTGAAAATCCAAGCTTGCCACCACGTCGTCACTTAACGGAAAACTTAACAAAAGTATTAAAATGTCAAGAAACATCAAAGTTTAGCTATGAAACTAAGACGAAAATAACTAAAAGCTTAGCTGTTGTCAAGAAACATCAAAGTTCAACTATGAAACTGAGACAAAAATAACTAAAAGTAGCAAAGTGTGGATTTCAAGATAAGTGGTAAAGTGAGATTACCCAAAAATTTATTACAAACACATTATTCTTCCAAGCTAGATAAAGGAAAGAGAGTTTAAACCCGAAACTCGACAAGTCGGTGAGAAAAGCCACAATCCAACACTTGCAACCTTGCAACAGAAATCTTGTAATTTAAAGCACATAGAAAAGTCAAACGATTTGGGATTGCAATTCGAATTGATATATCAAAACTCGTCAAAAGACAAATCAATTTTAATTTACAAAGTAATAACTCGGGAAGAAGAAGCGCATTGAAGCCATCGATCAAAATTGCGTTTTACAGTCTCGGTTTCGGCTTCAAAACCTCGGTAGAAAATAACAAAATTGTTGCAAAAGAAAAGAAAGAAGCAGAATTGCTGCACACACAAGGCTCCTCTAATGCCTTATGAATTGTCTATCATCTCCGCCTTTTCGATTGCCGTAAGGATTGCTCTCACTGAATCCATTTCGACTTCCTTCTTTACGCGTCTTCTTCCTGAACTTTGATTTACTGCTGTCTAAGTTCAAATGCACCTTGGGTGGATTAGAAAAACAAAAAGAAGCCGCAACCGCCTGCCCAATTCCAACAAACATTGAGATATCAGGATGGATAGCATTCGTGTTTTCCTACGAAAATCTCTTTTATCTTTACACAGTAAACGTTTAGATGAAAAGATAAATAACTTCATATCAAGAAAAAGACGGGTACCTGCAGATCAAGCCGGTGTACATTAAAGATGTCCTTCATAGAGTGTGAATTGTATGCTAATAAATAAGATGTATACGCCTCTTTTGCTGAATTATTCAGGTAGTGATTCTTTTGAACCATCTGCTCCTGCATCAGTTGAAGCAATGCATAAGTTTCCATGGACCTAGTTATTGCATGATAATGGAAAACAATCGAACACGAAATTACCAGTTTTGACTGCACATTCTTCAGCTTCTTTTCATTAAAATCGTATGGTTTAACGGGCACATTTGCAGCCTGTAAACAAAAATGAATATGAATTGAAATGGAGAAAAAGCATCACACAGCAGATAGAAAACCTAAACAAAAGCTAGATATTGCTTACAACCTTCTGTAAAACATTTTAGCTATAAATCATACCTTCAAATAGCGAATGAATTGCAACTCTTCGGGAATGAGGAAAAGTAATGCCTTTCCTGTTGCACCTTCCCCTCGAGCTGTTCGACCAACCCTATGGATATATTCCTGCAAGTACATACCCCATGATACGCTGTTATTCAGCATGGACGAAGAATCGCTAGATACTCAAACTACTAGAAATCTGTTAGAAAGAAGGAATAATAGATACCGTCGGTTCATCTGGAGGATCAAACTGCAAAATCCAGTCCTACAAGCAAAGAAAAGAAAAGAAAACAAAAGAAAGAAGCAGCATAAGATTACCGTGAGCATTCGTAAATGTAAATATTGCTAATAGGATAAAGAGGAGGGGGCAAGGAAGATGTCTGGGAAGGGGCTGATATCTCAATGAATGTTGCCAATATGGTGAAATGAATAAACATACTCGTTGCTGTACATAAAATAACTGAATGATGAAAAAAAAAAAAAAAACTAATGATAACCATAATTTTCGTAAGTTTAATCCTGTCCTGTTACAGAAAGGAAAAGGAAATTTACCACAGAAGGAATATCCAGTCCACGAGCAGCAACATCAGTACAGAGTAAGATTCCTTTCTCTGCTTTACAGAAGTCAAAAAAAGTAGTTGTCCTCTTCTGCTGCTTTTGCTTTCCATGGATATCAAAGCATTCCACATTAACGTATCTAAGAAGTTCGGAGTGGAATTTCACTGAGTTACAAGATGAGAAGAAGACCATAACTTTCTTAGACGTATTCTTTGTCAGGAAAGAATATAAGAGAAGAAATCTCTTAGCACTTGGGACAACACAATATCCTTGTTCCAGCCCTTCATTGGTGACCTACAATTCACACAATCTCGTCATTCCACTGATTAGGGCTAAATCACAAGAAATAAAAAATTTGGAGAGAGTACAAGGTAAATTTTAATTCATAACAGATATGAACATTAAATGCATGTAAAATGAGGAAAACATAATCAAACTGGATTCCTACCTTTGACCTCCCCTCATCCACATCAACATAGATAGGTTTCTGATCTTTTCGAAATGACAACTTAACAAGATCTTCAACCTGTAGGTTTAACAAGAAAAGAATTATCAGAACAAAGCACTCGTATAACAAATGGGCGCACAAAGTTTTGTTGACTCAAAGATACAAAAGTTAGAGAATTATTTAACTGTGTTTAAGCCAAAACATTTAAAAACA